GCACTAGAGATATCTGGCGAAAAAAGGGCCCTAGTCGACCCTAAAATGCAAAGTGAAAACCATGGAAGCATCTTCCAAGTGAAACCGCAAAAACGCACATGCAACATGCACTCGCTGCAAGCCAGACGCCTCTCTTGGGGTTTTAGAGGGGCTTATATGGATGGAGCCTACAGGGCCTATGGGGTGTTTTAGGGTGCTATAGGGCTTATAGGGTTTTAGAGGGTTTATAAGGCTTATAGGGTTCAGGGTTTTGATGAGGCTTCAGAGGGGTTCTGTAGGGCTCACATGTGGTTGGGATTCTATAGGTTTTGAAAGGGGCGCAGGGTTCTATAAGGGTTGTTGTGCGGGCATTTCGGATACTATACGGGCTTATAGGGTTAACGGGTCACAAGCACGTAAACTGATTGAAAGTACCATCAAGATAGCGAATGCTTTTTCGTAAAAAAACTTGGCTGCATAACTTCTATTCAGGCTGTGGACCCTGTAGCCTCTGACCGTAGACCCTTCTAAGCAGTCATCCAGGCCAATGTGCCTTGGCGCCATCGTGCCGCTGCCGCCAAAGGCGCGCTGCCCGGCGGCCCAGCACGCCAGCACCGACGACGAGGAGGTCCTCTGCAGGGTTCATTTCGGGGTTATAAGGTTCCTGTAAGGGTTCCCTTGAGGGCTGCTGTGATGAGCTAAGGGTTTAGAGGGCTGCAGGGTTTAGGGTTTAGGGTTTAGGGTTTAGTGTTTAAGCATTGAACGCCTTTTAAGATTTGAAGGGACTGCGGGCTCGTAGCGCTTAAGCTTTGGGGATTAGGCGGCTTTAGGGCTTAAGGGAGGAGGGATCAGGCTGCAGCTAAACATCAGCACAACGAAAAGGCTGAACGATATTTGACTTCGGGCTTTCGTTTCTAAACCGGGCTTAGGCGGATTGAGGTGTAGGGGGTTTTAGAGGCCAGGGCTTAGGGTCGAGGCTATAGTCTAAAGACTAAGTTGTCCTTTAAGCCCTTTGAAAATTACTTACGATTATGGTTCTCTACAAAATTAAGGGAAATTGAAACAGATCCCAAAAGACAACCCAGACAGGGGATTTTGGGCTAAGACGGTTAAGATCTCAACTCTCCACCCCTCGGACCTTGAAAAGCCTCCATCCACCTCTCCGGTTCTTCATTGATTGCCTTATCTATTGTGGGAGCTGGTTGTATCCACCTGACTCTGCATCCACACGGCTGAGCATTGGGAAAATCATCAGCGAAACGGATCTGCAATGCCGCCTAGGTCCTGCACCAGTTCTTAAGCCCGCAGCCCAAGCAAGCTCCAAGATCCGAAAAGATAGCAACCGTGCCTTACTCTCCGCAGGTGGCTTTGCCAGGGCGGTCGACGAAGCCCATACCTCTTCTTGAGGGTGAAGGGCCGGGGAGCTTCCCATCTGCTAGAGACGAGTAGGATGCAAGGGCTGAAGTCTAGACAAGCCCATCGATGCATGTCGAAGATGCTCTAGCCTTTGCTCAGGGTTGAAGAGAGGTTCAGGATCCAGGATTTTGAGGCGCCTGCATCCATTGCAATCCCTGCCTATCCCTCGACCCAGCCACCTATTGAAGCATCACGACCTCCGGCACATGCTTGTCCCGTCAAAACCAAGGGGTTTGTGGATGTGAGGATTCGAGGCTCAAGATTTCGATTCTCGGGGTGTGAGGGCTTAGGGCTTCTGGTGTAGTTTCCGACTGAAACCTTCGGCACTTCCTGCTCTAGATACCTGAAAATCCCTGGGAGCCAAGTGGGAGTTATCGAGCTCACATAGTTTTACAGGCCCTTGGGGCGCAGCGGGCTCGGGAGCATCGGACAAAGCTCCCGCATAAAAAGCTCAATATTCTTGACATCGCCCCCTTCACTGCGCCAAGCCGCTGCCATGCACGCGGCCGCTACGGCCGCTGCGATGCGGCGGTGGCGGCGCATGGCCGGGAAAGGTCGCGAGCCCCCTAATCAACTGTTGCCGACGGATTTGGGCTCGTGGCTTGTGGGGTTTGCGAGCTTCGAAGTGACACCTGCAACGTGGTTGTGTGGTGGTTTACACAGAAAGGGCACTGAACAAATCGTTGGGTAGCTGCAGAAGGTTTGAGGTTTCGGGATCTGGTGCGAAGTTGGTCTGCAAACCTCTGAACGTCACTGCGAATATCTGCACCAATGAAGGCTCGAAGCTGCAAGCATGAAAGAAGAGTGCTGCCAAAAGCAACGGCAGATCTCGATGCCTTCTCAGGAAGCAGCAACTTTTCGTCTAAGCATCTGGGATCGCCTCTAGTCTAGCGGATACGGAAAAGCCAGGAAGCCAAGGGTTGAGGCGACGATCGCAGAAACGGGTTTTTTAAAAACCCTCTTTTTAAAAACCCGGGTTTTTAAAAACCCTCTTCTGTTGTTTAAAAACCCTCTTCTGTTTTTAAAAACCCTCCTTCCGGGAACCCCCCAAGCCACAGTTCGAGGGTTTGGGGCTTAGGGGCTTAGGGACTTTATGTGGTAAGGTTTCATGGCATGGGCCTAGGGTTTAGGGTTTAGGGCTTAGGGTTTAGGGTTTAGGGTCTAGGGTCTTGACTCTATATATTACGCAGTTTTTTTTAGCAGAATTTGGCATCCAGACAACCCGGACACTGGAGCTCCCTCACTCCGATGACGTCTGCTGAAGACACGGCCCCATCTCAAGTTAGGGTTTAGGGCTTAAGGGTTTAAGGGTTTAAGGGTTTAAGGGTTTAAGGGTTAAGGGTTTAGGGTTTAGGGGCCAGGTTTTTGATGTTATTCACTTCTGGCCTTTGAGAAAATAGGTGCTTCCCCAAGCCTTTGTGGTTTAGGGTTTAGAGTTTAGGGCTTAGGGTTTAGGGTTTGGCTCGACTCCACCAATAAAACCTGCTTTCAACAAATCTACGGAGCATCCGTGACCCTGCGTTCAGCCCAGGCGTTACCATAGGAACCTAGACCCTCAAGCTGCAAACCCTAACCAGGCAGCTCCAGACCTTCGGCCCTAAATCCAAATCGTTCACCCTGACCCCAGAAACCCCACAGGCCTAATCTCTAAACTCTAAGCCCCAAAAGTCCTGAAGCCTACAACCTCAATCCGAAAGGCCCGAAACCCTAGTCATTCATCTTTTGCTCCGGCCATCACTCCGAGCCCACTTGTGGATGGATTTGCGCGAGACCTTGAACAAAAGGAACGATCATTTTGCTGGAGCCGTCTGTAAGGTCCGTAGTTTAGGGTTCGAGGGTCCAATGGATCGGTTTGGGGCTTTTGGGTTTAGGGTTTGGGGTTTAGGGTTTTGAGGACCTGGGCGCAGGGTGTAGCACGGAATTGCTTGCCTGTCGCTGGAGCTTTCGGAGTACGCTGAACCCTAAATCCTAAGCCCTCAAAATTACCCTAAACCTCTAAACCCCAGGTCCTCGGCCTGCCTCTTAAATCCATAAACCCCAGACCCCGAGAACCCCACGTCTTGAAGACTCCCTACTCAATTCTTGGGTGCGCAAGATCACTGAGTTAATCATTCAACAAAACGCATGATCTCCCTTCACACTCTTCTGGAACCTTTATGAAACACTATCGCAGACCATTATTATGCTTATCCTAAACCTGTATAGAACCCTTTGACACCTTTACTAAACCCTAAACCCTAAACCCTATACCCTATACCCTAAACCCGAAACCC